AGTCCCCCAGAGTGGCTGGTGGGTGTCACGAGAGTGGCTGCCCCTGGGTCTCCAATGAGATCAACAGGTGGTGGTGTGTGCAGCGGCATGGGTGGCGCTGGCACAGAGGGCAAAGAGGTGACATGAAGATCCGAGACAGAGGGATAAAGGAGAGGACACTTGCATGTGGTTCAAGGAGATTTTATTCCATGAACTGGGTCAGGGACAAGTGCCAAAGAAAATGGGGTCTGGCTAGAACTTATAAAGGGTGTGGGCATGAAGGGGTATCACCTCTTTGCCCTCTGCTCTCATTTGACCAGACACCAATGGAGCCATCGGTAAGGGAAGCCCTGTGAGTGCTCTGAGTGCGGGAAAAGCTGGGGAGGGGAAAAGCCTCAGGGGACCAACTGATGGCAAGAACAGGGATGATTGACAAAGAACTTTTGAGAACAAAATGGGGGTGGTTACACTGACTGACAGGGGAGGTAGGCAGCACAACTTGGATTGACATATCTATTCTGGGGTAAAAGGGGAGGAACAGGGAGATTGGCAGTCAAGTGGCGGGAAAACTTAGGGATAAACAACCTGGGAGAAACCACTGTGAGGGGAAGAAATAGGGGGTACAAGGAGCATACCAAACGAAACTTTCTAACAATAAATTTCTAACTCATATAGTAAAATGATGCAAGATCCCACAAAACACACACCACCACAGCTCTTCCCGCACTCAGAGCACTCACAGGGCTTCCCTTACCGATGGCTCCATTGGTGTCTGGTCAAATGAGAGCTCCTGGAGAAGCTCTTCCCACACTGGGGACACTCGTAGGGCACCTGCTGGTGCCTGAGGAGGTGGGAGTTCCTCCTGAATTCCTTCCCGCAGTCGGGGCAGCAGAAGGGCCTCTCATCCGTGTGAACCCGATAGTGTCTGAGGAGATCGGAGCTGGTCTGAAACCTCTTCCCACACTCAGAACACTCGTAGGGCCTCTCCCCACTGTGGATCCTCTGGTGCTCGATCAAGCTGGAGCTCTGGCTGAAGCTCTTCCCTCGCTCGGAACACTTATAGGGCCATTCCCCAGTGTGGGTCCTCTGGTGCCTGATCAGGTCGCAGCTCCTCCTGGAAGCTCTTCCCACACCCCCCACACTCATAGGGCCTCTCCCCAGTGTGGGTCCTCTGGTGACTGATGAGGTGTGAGTTGTTCCTGAATCCCCTCCTGCAGTCAGGGCAGCAGAAGGGCCTCTCCTCTGTGTGAACCCAACAGTGCTTGAGGAGATGGGAGCTGGTCTGAAACCTCTTCCCACACTTGGAACACTTGTAGGGCCTCTCCCCAGTGTGGATCCTCTGGTGCACAATCAGGCTGGATCTCTGGCTGAAGCTCTTCCCACACTCCCCACACTCATAGAGCCTCTCCCCAGTGTGGATCCTCTGAAGCCTCATCAGCTGGGAGCTCCATCTGAAGATCTTCCCACACTCTGAACACTTGTGGGGCTTCTCCCCATCATGGTTCTGCTCAGGGACCACCAGCTCCGAGCTCTGGCTCAATCTTCGGCAGCCTTCCCGGCCCAAGGTGGATCTTTCCTCCTCACATTCCCGCGATCTGTGTTTGCAGTCCCTCGTTGTGCGGGCTTTTCCTCCCCATTGGGTTCCTGCACTGTGGAGCTGCTCAAAATGGCCTCTTCCACGAGGTTCTGCCGCGGGGATTTGTCCTCCCTGCTCTTCATCCTCATCTCCTGCTCCGGGGGAGGAAGGACAGGGAGAGGATTGTCCTCACAGCCTCCTAGGAGCTGGGAATGGGAAATGCTGGTTTGGGGAAAACAAGGGATTAGCACATTGAGTTTGAAGGTCCCTCTACCCAAGCCCATCTCTATAAGTCCCTGGCCACCTGGGCTCCATAAAAACCTCCCAAACACTGAGATTCAGCCCTGAAAAAGCCTCTCAGGAGTTCCCCATCCTGGCTCCCTCCCCGCTGGTGTTCGGGGTTCCCCCTGCCCCAGCTGCTGGGGTCACGCTTGGACTGGGGGCTCCCCTTCTCCTGACTGGGGGTTAAACAACCCCAGCAATTAGTGACACTGTGTGTTTTGGCTACCTTGGTCTTTAAATTTTCAAAACATTTTTGATGACTGATCCCTTGGTGAAACTCTGGAGGTGTTTTGGCAGACATCAGTAGTACTTTAGTGACACCGTTCTTCATTCTTTTTGCTCAATGTCATTCAAGTTAGGAACAATAATTCTGTTGTCCATGGAGATGGCAACTTTTTAATTCCAGAATAATGCCCCCAAGGTCCTTTAGTGTTCAGCTTTACCATGTTGTCTGTGGGTAACAAGGCTTGGTGGGGCCCTTTCCCCTTTGGCTGGAAAACGGCCAGAACCTCTACTTAAAGAAAAAAAAAGGAAAAAGAAAAAAAATACAATTAGATGAATTGTAAAAGATACAAATAAAATCCAAGTGTTAGTGAAACAACTTCTGTAACTTTGCATTAAGACGTAAATGATCTTTTTAAAAAGAGAACTCAGTAATTAACATTGTAAAAGTGCTGATGGCATGGATCCATCTTACTGACCTCAGCAGTGTTTTTTAAAGATTTTGGGGTTTGTTTCCAACATTGGTATTTTAAATTGTCGTCAAAGCAATAGGAAATTGATTGGGGCCCTTCCAGCTCCAGACAGGACTGGGAATCTAAACTCTGTCAAACCCCAAATCCTTTAGAAGATGACCTTCCTTCTCACTCTGGGAATGAGCTGCACATTCCCTCTGAAATGGTCAGGGGTTTCTTACAGATGAAAAATCACACTTACGGCTTTTTGCTCCAGATTGGAAGTGGGAAAGGCAATTCTCCATCCATCAGCTCCAGACTCCACTGCCTCAGGAACATGGATCACTTGCCAGGTTTGGCCCACTCGTGGCACTTCTAGAGGAGGAAGAAAGTGCAACTGCACAATTCCAGCCAAAAAGAAATGAAGAATGAATAGTGGACATCCAGGGGTTCCTGCGGAGATTCAGGGGTTCAGCTGGGACTGTGGAGAGTTTGGGTCCTTGCCAATTGGATGTGTGTCCCCAGCTGCAATCTCCTGGCCTGCAGGGGAGTCTCACTTACCTGCAAAAGCAGAAAGCTCAGGCACTGTGCTCCCACCCTGGCATACAGTGCACAGTGAAGGCAATTGCAAAAAACCAGCAGCTGCTCACTCCCAAACACGAGGCGCTGTCTATGTCCTTGCTTCCCGACAAACTCGGTGCAGCCCATTTTTTCTGCCGCTGCTGTCGAGTTCTCTGCATCTCGGAAGCTCAGGGCACGAACAAGAATTCTCCAGATTCGTCTGCATCAGGACCAAGTCAAAACGCAGGAAAGTCGTCCTGGAGCACCTGCCAGAAGCATGCCAGCGGTGAATTGAAAGCGCAGGCAGCTGCAGCCAAGGTCTTTTAGCAGTGCCAAGGCAGCGCACACAAGCCAGTTTCGTTCTTCGCCTCTCAGAAGCCAACCGCTCTCCCCGGCTGCCGGAGGCGAAGAAGCGGCTACTAGGTGCACCGCTGACGTGAACCGCACTTGTAGGCTGCAAAGCGCGGCTTCGGCAGAAAGACGCCGGCAACCGCCGCTTCCCTGCGGACAGCTGCGGAGAGCCGGAGTCTGCGTCTCAAGCGGACTGCATCATAGCGAAAAGCTTTTCCAGCGTGTCTCGCAGGGAGAAAGCTTGCCAGCACAGTGCACGCATCCCGCCCTTGCCCAGAAACATGGATCTGCTGAACACTCCAAAAACACTACTCTTTCCTAGGCAAGCTTCAAACTGCTGTCAGACATCTGTGCTCTCTGTTTTCTGCTGCCCTGCTCGTTGTAGAGGAGTGCACAGCTCCACCTGACATTCAGTGCACAGCGAAGTCAACTGCAAAAAACCAGCAGCTGCTCACTCCCAAACACAAGGCGCTGTCTATGTCCTTGCTTCCCGAGCAACTCAGCACAGCCCTTCTTTTCTGCAGCTGCCATCGAGTTCTCTGCAACTCGGAAGCTCAGGGTACGAACAAGAATTCTCCAGATTCGTCTGCATCAGGACCAAGTCAAAACGCAGGAAAGTCGTCCTGGAGCACCTGCCAGAAGCATGCCAGCGGTGAATTGAAAGGGCTGGCAGCTGCAGCCACCGTCTTCTAGCAGTGCCAAGGCTGCGCACACAAGCCGGTTTCGTTCTTCGCCTCTCAGAAGCCAACCGCTCTCCCCGGCTGCCGGAGGCGAAGAAGCGGCTACTAGGTGCACCGCTGACGTGAACCGCACTTGTAGGCTGCAAAGCGCGGCTTCGGCAGAAAGACGCCGGCAACCGCCGCTTCCCTGCGGACAGCTGCGGAGAGCCGGAGTCTGCGTCTCAAGCGGACTGCATCATAGCGAAAAGCTTTTCCAGCGTGTCTCGCAGGGAGAAAGCTTGCCAGCACAGTGCACGCATCCCGCCCTTGCCCAGAAACATATATTTGCTGAACACTCCAAAAACACTACTCTTTCCTAGGCAAGCTTCAAACTGCTGTCAGACATCTGTGCTCTCTGTTTTCTGCTGCCCTGCTCGTTGTAGAAGAGTGCACAGCTCCACCTGACATTCAGTGCACAGCGAAGTCAACTGCAAAAAACCAGCAGCTGCTCACTCCCAAACACAAGGCGCTATGTCCTTGCTTCCCGAGCAACTCAGCGCAGCCCTTCTTCTCTGCAGCTGCCATCGAGATCTCTGCAACTCGTAAACTCAGGGTACGAACAAGAATTCTCCAGATTCGTCTGCATCAGGACCAAGTCAAAACGCAGGAAAGTCGTCCTGGAGCACCTGCCAGAAGCATGCCAGCGGTGAATTGAAAGGGCTGGCAGCTGCAGCCACCGTCCTCTAGCAGTGCCAAGGCTGCGCACACAAGCCGGTTTCGTTCTTCGCCTCTCAGAAGCCAAGCGCTCTCCCCGGCTGCCGGAGGCGAAGAAGCGGCTACTGGGTGCACCGCTGACGTGAACCGCACTTGTAGGCTGCAAAGCGCGGTTTCGGCAGAAAGAAGCCGGCAACCGACGCTTCCCTGCGGACAGCTGCGGAGAGCCGGAGTCTGCGTCTCTAGCGGACTGCATCATAGCGAAAAGCTTTTCCAGCGTGTCTCGCAGGGAGAAAGCTTGCCAGCACAGTGCACGCATCCCGCCCTTGCCCAGAAACATATATTTGCTGAACACTCCAAAAACACTACTCTTTCCTAGGCAAGCTTCAAACTGCTGTCAGACGTGCGTGCTCTCTGTTTTCTGCTGCCCTGCTCGTTGTAGAGGAGTGCACAGCTCCACCTGACATTCAGTGCACAGCGAAGTCAACTGCAAAAAACCAGCAGCTGCTCACTCCCAAACACAAGGCGCTGTCTATGTCCTTGCTTCCCGAGCAACTCAGCGCAGCCCTTCTTCTCTGCAGCTGCCATCGAGTTGTCTGCAACTCGGAAGCTCAGGGTACGAACAAGAATTCTCCAGATTCGTCTGCATCAGGACCAAGTCAAAACGCAGGAAAGTCGTCCTGGAGCACCTGCCAGAAGCATGCCAGCGGTGAATTGAAAGGGCTGGCAGCTGCAGCCACCGTCTTCTAGCAGTGCCAAGGCTGCGCACACAAGCCGGTTTCGTTCTTCGCCTCTCAGAAGCCAACCGCTCTCCCCGGCTGCCGGAGGCGAAGAAGCGGCTACTAGGTGCACCGCTGACGTGAACCGCACTTGTAGGCTGCAAAGCGCGGCTTCGGCAGAAAGACGCCGGCAACCGCCGCTTCCCTGCGGACAGCTGCGGAGAGCCGGAATCTGCGTCTCTAGCGGACTGCATCATAGCGAAAAGCTTTTCCAGCGTGTCTCGCAGGGAGAAAGCTTGCCAGCACAGTGCACGCATCCCGCCCTTGCCCAGAAACATATATTTGCTGAACACTCCAAAAACACTACTCTTTCCTAGGCAAGCTTCAAACTGCTGTCAGACGTGCGTGCTCTCTGTTTTCTGCTGCCCTGCTCGTTGTAGAAGAGTGCACAGCTCACCCTGGCATTCAGTGCACAGCGAAGTCAACTGCAAAAAACCAGCAGCTGCTCACTCCCAAACACAAGGCGCTGTCTATGTCCTTGCTTCCCGAGCAACTCAGCACAGCCCTTCTTCTCTGCATCTCGGAAGCTCAGGGCACGAACAAGAATTCTCCAGATTCGTCTGCATCAGGACCAAGTCAAAACGCAGGAAAGTCGTCCTGGAGCACCTGCCAGAAGCATGCCAGAGGTGAACTGAAAGGGCTGGCAGCTGCAGCCACCGTCCTCTAGCAGTGCCAAGGCTGCGCACACAAGCCGGTTTCGTTCTTCGCCTCTCAGAAGCCAACCGCTCTCCCCGGCTGCCGGAGGCGAAGAAGCGGCTACTAGGTGCACCGCTGACGTGAACCGCACTTGTAGGCTGCAAAGCGCGGCTTCGGCAGAAAGACGCCGGCAACCGCCGCTTCCCTGCGGACAGCTGCGGAGAGCCGGAGTCTGCGTCTCTAGCGGACTGCATCATAGCGAAAAGCTTTTCCAGCGTGTCTCGCAGGGAGAAAGCTTGCCAGCACAGTGCACGCATCCCGCCCTTGCCCAGAAACATATATTTGCTGAACACTCCAAAAACACTACTCTTTCCTAGGCAAGCTTCAAACTGCTGTCAGACATCTGTGCTCTCTGTTTTCTGCTGCCCTGCTCGTTGTAGAGGAGTGCACAGCTCCACCTGACATTCAGTGCACAGCGAAGTCAACTGCAAAAAAC